GATCTGTTTCAATGTTGTTGTTTTACTTAATTAGCCATTAGAAGTCTTGGATTCAAAGCATGTTTAATTAGAAAGCCTAGATCCAAGCATTAGGGTTTGCATGCGCACATAGGAAAGTTCTTATGGCTAAAACCCATCAGATTTAAGTTTTCAAATCATTTTGAAAACTAAGTCGATATAATTTGATTCTATCCCATATACGATCATGAATAAGAGACATACCCGTTTACGATCCTAAAGCAAAACATAGTTGCATTTCTCTTTCTCCTTTTTGTTAGTCATTGATGTTCGAAGTTTGGTGTTGATTGGTGGCTACATTACAATTTGTTATTGAGGGAGGAAGAGATGGAGATGGAAAACGGTGGTGGCTAGGTTTTAGAGAGATTGAGGAGAAACGATGATGAATTTGGAGAGAGCTTTATCTATACATGGAGAAACAATCCCAAAAAACCAAATTAATCCTTTATAGATCAAGAAATTAGTAATCAACTTGCAAAATATTTTTAAGAGATCCACAATGAGAATCTGTGAGGCTATGAGTTACATCAAAGATTCACATTGTGAATTTATCCATGTCATACCAAAACAGGTTGAGGTTCACCAAGTGTTGTAAACATACACATAGTGAATATTTTCACGTATTGTGTGTATAGTGAAAACAAGCGAAAGGGATAAGCAACTTGCAAAACATTTTTAAGAGATTCACAATGTGAATCTATGAGGCTATGAGTTACATCAAAGATTCACCATGTGTTCATAGTGAAAACAAATGAAAGTGATAATCAACTTGCAAAACATTTTTAAGAGATTAACAAAGTGAATCTGTGAGGCTATGAGTTATATCAAAGATTCACATTCTAAATTTATGCATTTCATACCAAAACAGGTTGAGGTTCATCAAGTGATGTACACATGCACATGGTGAATCTTTCCATGTATTGTATGTATAGTGAAAACAAGCAAAAGGGATAAGCAACTTGCAAAACATTTTAAGATATTCACAATGTGAATCTTTGAGGCTACGAGTTACATCAAAGATTCACCATGTATTCTTAATGAAAACTAGTGAAAGTGGTAATCAACTTGCAAAACATTATTAGAGATTCCAAATGTGAACTTGTGAGGCTATGAGTTACATCAAAGATTCACATTGTGAATTATTTTTTTTAATAAGTGTGTAATATATGATTATATAAATTAGTTTTTTTTTTAATCTGCATGTGAATGTTCTAACCTGTTTTTCTATCTAGCATATCCTTAATTTTTTCACTTGTAGTTGAAGGTAAAACGTCTTTTAGATTTCTTGTCAGTTTCATTCTTTTCTTATTATCCTCTTTTCATTGATCTTTTCTTCATTTCATGTTTTTGATTAACAAAGTAATTCAAACATGAGTTTCATGATCTGAAAGTTATTATTTATTCATATAGTTCACAATGTGAATCAGGATTACAGATCAATTTAACATAATATTTATTCACATTGTGAATTCATTGTGAATCAAAACATTACCAATGAAACTCTTTATAAATTTACAATGTGAAGCACAATAAGAGATACAAGACGAATCAAGCATAGATGCACAATGTGAATTTGCACATGATGAAAAAATCAAATGTAAATGATAAAGCACACTGTAAATTCACTATGTGAATCAATGTTATGTTAAATTGATATGTAATCGTGATTCACTTTGTGAATTGTTAAAAAATGCTATACTCAAAAACATTGAATTTTTTTGAAATAATCAAATGTAAATCACAAAGGACACTATGAATTCACAACGTGAAATTAGTTTTTCAGTTTAATGAATAAACTCATAAACGACTTAGATTCACGAGGTTATTCATGATTTCTGTATCGATTTGAAGAAATTTAAATCATTAGGTTTTTGGTATTTATACAAATTCACAAAAGTTCATGAAATTAGGTTTCAATTTAATGAATAAACTCAGATACGAGTTAGATTCACAAAGTTTTAGGAAATTATGGTTTGTAATTTAGATATTCATGATTTCTGTATCGATTTGAAGAAATTTAAATCATTAGGTTTTTGTTATATATACAAATTCACAAAAGTTCATCATCCGAGGGTTTCAAATCGGTCTAAAATGATTTTGTTAATAAAATTGTATTCATAGATTCATTGAAAACATAATGTAACAAATAATTTAGAGTTTAGGTTTTGAAATTTATCTGTTAGAAATTTTGTTGTTTAAAATGCATTAAATGAGATAAGCGGAATTAAATAGCAGCCGGATATACCTTCTAGATTCATTTTTATGAACTTTCCGTCGAGATTCATGGTTGATTTCGGCTGAATAGTTTTCGGTGTTGAGTTGAAATCGATGTTCGTCACTGAAGTAAAAAACTATTTCAATGAGAGTGTAAAATCGATTTTAAATGAGATGTGAATGTGATACGGATGAACAATAACTAACGTCGTTAATTCAACGTCAGAGTTAATAAGTTTTAGGTTGACAAAAATTACCCCTTAAGTACCATGTCAGGTTATAGTCAACTGCACACTATTGGCTTTTACATTTTCACAACTCAAATTCAGTGGTTGTTATTTTTTTTTATCCAACCATCTTAATACGCTTCTTGGTTCCTTGATCCATATTGGTTCTTTATTGAACCCCTCTCTCCCTATATATATATATATATATATATATATATATATATATATATATATATATATATATTAATTAATTAAATTATATTGGGTGTAGTTTCTATGGAGCTTTTTTACACAATGACAAATCAGTAAATCTCATACGCAAACCTAAATTAGAGTCAGCACAAGGTTAGAATACATTTTTTAAAATTATTACGTATAAATTAGAAGCTTACAACTTTACACATTAGGTTTCTTAATATCCTTTATTTACTTCATCTTTTTGATGTTTCAATTTTGGCTTTTGAATTTTCACAGCTCCTCGACATGCTCCTCAATACAATCTTCATCAGAACTTTATACGACCAGTAATACTGTAATACGGCTTGATTATACGCAAGAAGCAAGAAGCGAACTTCAAATTTCACGTCATATTCCTTCTCTAACTCTCCGTGGCAGTAGTTTACCTCCGATTCCACGGATAAGTTGACATCTGAAAACGAAAAGAAAAGTAAGATATTTCTATTCAAGTTCTTCCATTAAGATGTTTTTGAGTTAATTTGATTTATGTTACGTGTTAGATTAACACTTTCTTTTTTCAGTGACCAACATTGTTGAAATATCGGAAGATGTTCATGGGGTACGGTCGCCTACACCTCCAACAAGGGACAATGAAAAGAATCAAAAGCCCATCAAGCAATTAAAGCCACAAAACAATTGGCGTGGACGTCAAACGTCACAGAAAACTTACATCAGAGGTTTGGAAAGATTTTGAATTTCTGGATACTGATGAAAATGGTGAATTGCATTGTAGATGTAAAAGTGTGGTTAAGTTTATAATGCTTAAACTAGAATGGGTATGTAAATTGAAAACGCCATATTGGGAGCTGTAAACCAAGTCATTTTAAGGATATTGGGCAAATGGTTTCAGATATTGGCGGAAATGATGGTTCAATAACTACCAGGGTCCTTGAGTTTAATCCTAATACCTTCCGTGAGATGTTAGTCACTGCCATAGTAAGGCATGACCTGTTATTTAAATTTGTTTAATACGAAGGTATTAGGAAATGTTTTACTTATCTAAATCTTGAAGTTAAAATGGTTGCAATGTAACGCCCCGATTCTCGAATACCAATTTATGGTTATAAATTCTCATGAATTCAAGATCTACTCGACGAGTTGGTTGCCTGACTCGTCGAGTAGCAGCGGGTTTGGGCCATGTGTTTAAGTGACCAACTCGTCGAGTCAGAAGAGTGACTCAACGAGTTGGAGCTGGAGGGTGAAACCCTAATTTTCGGGGTTTGGCACCCTATTTAATGGACCATTAGACTCCCTTAGTTCCTTTGCAGCCTCTTGAGAGTCCAGAAACCCTAATTCGTGTGAGTGTACTCCATTTGTGTGTTTTAAAGCTTTGGAAGGTGTATCTTTGTATAAAGAACTTGAAGAGCAAGTGACTAGGAGCAAAGGACTTGTGGGGATATGATATCTACCTCAGATGGCATCTCTTGGAAGGTATCAAGTCGTTACCTTGACCTCATTTCATTCTAGGTCTCATTGGTTAATGTTTTGGGCTTTTCTAGCATATTGTGAAGCTATTTTGGTTATGAGCTCAGATCTGAAGTTGTAACTTCAGATCTGAACTCTCCTTGGTCTCAAAATCCATAAAGCTATCAGCTTTGGCAAGTATGAACCCCTCCTTAAGTGTAAAACCCCATTTCAAGCTTGATTTTGGCATTTTGGGTCATAAGAGCCTTGTATGCACGTAAAGTTTGCAGCTTTATGTGATAAGCATACCTTGGGAGGTTGGATCTGTAGTATGGAGCCTTAGCATGGCTTAAAAAGCATCTGTATGGATGAAGGACTGAAGGGACTCGACGAGTCGCATGGTAGACTCGGTGAGTCATATAAAGATGGTCATGAACTCGATAGGTTGGATGAACAACTCGGCGAGTCCGATGAAGATTGTCTTGGGCTCGACGAGTGGCATGCTGACTTGGTGAGTTGGCAAGTTATGCAAGGAACTCGGTGGGTAGCTAAGGGTACTTAACGAGTTGATGTCAACATGGACTGTTGACCTTGATAGTTGTCTTTGACTTTGACCAAGGGCTGGCCGTTTTGACTTTTTAGGATAATTGGTAAGCGAGTATTTATGAGTTGAATATGTGATGGTTATTGGTAATCGAGTATTTATGAGTTTGATATATAATATACGAATCACATGGCCATCTATAACCACTATGGTTATCTTTCTTTGACCTCTCATTTCATTGATAGTTCTTGGAATTTACGGAAAATAATTTTAAATTTTAGTTTTTTTACCTCCTATGACACCCTCCGAAATCATTTTGCTAAAAATAAATAACAAAAAGTAGGAAATAAAAATCCATGGATGAAGTGGATTTTCGCGACGGTGGTTAGCAAAAATACTAGCTATTTTAGTATTTTTCTTTTTTATAGCTGTTTAAAAAAAAAACATAAATAAAAATGACTATTATGATCATGTGATTTGTATATTATTGAAAAAAAGTTATAAATCAATTAAAAATATATGAAATATCGTATAGATAAATATTGTCCTAGTAGGATAGGACCATGTCTTAATTCATTCCTATAAAATAGTATACGTGAGAAGGCGTACTTCTGAGTTCAGATATCCCACTGGTTCTTCCTACCAAAGCCGTCCTCTCCATTTCTTCTGCCATTCTCGCCCTCTTTCTTACGGTTAGAATTTCCAATTCTCCATTAATGTTTATTGAGCTCCCTTTTTCTTTTACGAGACATCCAATCATAGTTTCTCATTAGAAATTAGGTTTGGTAATTTCGATTTTGTATAAATCGCAATTTGGCCATGGAATTATTGTTCTCCATGTTTTGGAAGAATTTTTTCACGATTAAATATCTTCGAAACTTACCATTCAGATGAATTCATAACCCCTCAGCTGCATGATACCATGAGTTTTATTTTTCAGTTGAACTAGTTCTAGATATGATCGATCTGAAAATCAATTACCTCGTGACTCGATCTGTCAGCAACTCAAATTCATACCTGTTTCTTTCCTAATTTTTGTTCTTAAAAGTGATGCATCATGCATGAACTCCGGAATCGCGATTCGATTAAAAACAATTATTAATTTAGCTTTGTCATCCAATGCTGTTTCATCTGATTGGCGACTTGACTTATTATAATTTAACTGCGACTAACTGATTCCCGAAATTCATACTTCTGGTAGTTCTAAATTTTCAAAAGAGAACAGAGTAACGATAATACAGTTATCTTGAATGCTCAACAAATTTCTTTTTGAAATTTTACTTTTGCAGAGAGGATCATTTATGTCGTTCTTCCGAACATACTGGAACAGTCCTGTTGGACCTAAAACTACTCATTTCTGGGGTCCTGTAGCCAATTGGGGATTCGTTGCTGCGGTATTATTTGAATATTTTGCACTACTTTTATTACAGATTTCTATAAAATTTGAAAGTGGAATAATCATTCGCTATATGGCAGGCAATGGCTGATCTTGAGAAGCCTCCAGAGATGATATCTCGCAACATGACTTCAAGTTCCTACTTGCCCATACTTTTTTTTAAACATTTCCAACAACCCATAAACTGACCCATATCATAAGATGTAAATCCGGTATACTGAGACAGTGTGATTACTTTTGGATTGCAGTGATGTGTGTATATTCGGCTTTATGTATGAGATTTGCGTGGATGGTTCGGCCTCGCAACTATCTTCTTCTTGGATGCCATATGTCAAATGAAACGGTTCAACTTTTTCAACTTTCACGATGGGCAAGAGGTCAAGGGTAAGCTACATTTAATATGATGCTAGTTGCATTTTAATATACACGTTTTTAGTTTCTCTCTTTATTATATATATATATATATATATATATATATATATATATATATATATATATATATATATATATATATATATATATATATATATATATATATATATATATATATTTTTTTTTTTTTTTTTTTTTTTTTTCTTAAAGGTATTTGCAGAAGAAGGAAGACGAGACACCAATCACACCATCACCTTGACTTTAGATGGTTTCTTTAGTTTCGACTTTTAAGGTGGTTATTTTTCGGTGTTACTGTAAATTTAAAGCTTGTAGATCTAATGCATTTTACAGTTTGTTAAGATATTTAGAGGTTTATATCTTGATTTGTAATGATGACGATTTCCATTATTGTATAATTTCTTTTTAGAGGAAATAACATTTTTGGTCATGATTATATTTGATTTTTGCAATTTTGGTTCAAATTTGTGGTCCTTGTAACTTTTTGTCCCGGAGTAAAAATGACTATTTGGTCTTTGTGAGTATAAATAAAAATTTTATAATTTTGGTCCAAAAAATATAGTAGTTCTATTTGGAACAATCACCAAAACTATTACAAACATGTCAAATAAGGACCATAATTATAAAAGAAAACCTTTTAAGACCAAAATTGTAAATGAAAACATTTGGGGGCCAAGTTTGAAAAAAGCAGATATATTAAGGGACTGAAAATGTAATTTACTCCGCCGCATAATTTTTTAATATACATAGTACCCAAACACATCATAATACGTTGTGTTGTTTGATATATTCATTATAATGTTCTTAAACTTCAACCCCTAACTTGATTTACTTTCAAGATTTTCAAAATTTCAGGTATTATTTTACTCTTACATCACATTTTTTTTTTTGGCGACCACCTACTAGGCTATATATATTGTAATTGAAAATGAAAATTATGTAAGATTAAGATAAATGTGTAATTTATAAAAATCATGGAAGTAATCAAGTTAGAAGTTAAATTATAAGAACATTAGACAATTATAATGTATTATATGATACAAAACGACGTGGTATGGTGAATTTGGGTACCTAAGCTTATATACCCTTAAGGGTATATTCACTTTTCACACACACACACACATATATATATATATATATATATATATATATATATATGTATATATATATATATATATTAAAAGAGAAATCTTTTACGAACATTATTCTATTCTTATATTTTTTATACTTTTTTATATTAAAGGGGGCTTCTTTTTATTTTCTCTCATTGATGTTTATAGCTTTTGTCACTTCAGGTTTTTCTATTAACTTTCTGCACTTAAAGCCAATGACTATGTACGCAAATAAGAATGAGATTTGTGTCCATATAGGTGTTCAACATTGCTTCTTTCATCGATTGCAAGCTAAAATCGGATCCTTCCCCACCGCCTCCCTCATCCAATAACTTTCTCATCCTTTCTCAGTCTTCTCTCAAACAATCATCACTCACACCACTATCAATTTTCAATCCGACGCCAACCACCTCTTTTCTCACGTCCACCGTCGTCAGAGGGTGGGATCGATTGCGATGGTTTGATAAGCCCCAATCCATGTTGGTTTACCGAAGGAGGTCCCCCAAGCCAAGTGGCGTGACTAGTAACAAAACAACAACCAATTAGCTTCTTGAAGAGGGCAGTGTCCCTGTTTTATTGCTTTTCTTTTTATTAGTTGCATCATGGCCATTATCTCTGCGAGTGGTCCTTTTTGGTGGGGGACAACAAGATTTGGATCTTATGTAATGGTCGGTCCTTCTGGTCTAGTCTCAGAGTATAAATAAGTCTTGTTTTCTTCATTTGTCTTCAGCTAAGAATTTTGTAAAGAACTTGCTTCTTCCTTGGAGATATCCAAATCTCGAAAACTAGGATTGTCAATACAAATTTTAGTCTTTTTAGTATATTTTGTGTTTCTTTCAGTGCTTACTAGGTAGATACATCTTGGGTCTATCAATTGGTATTAGAGCATGGTTGCTCCACAGAAGAATGTTCCAGCAGATAAGAGGTTGGAAATTGTTGAAGAAAACCTAGGAAAAATCATGGATGAACAACAACAACAGAAATTAGTTAACCAGCAGCAAGTAATGGCGACATGCAAAATGAGATGATGAGAAAGTTGGATGCTCTGTTAGGTAAAGTGGAGAAGATGGAACGAAACACCAAACTCAGTTATACTCACTCCATACTTTAATCCCTGAGACAAGAATAGTGGTCAAGGAAGCAGCGGAAGCGCCGGTGCCGACAGTCCAGGCGACGGAGGCCCGAGTTTGGTTTTTGGGTCATTCGATGGAATGAATCGGGGAAGGGGGCGATTTGAATACAAACATTGGAAGGTTGATATGCCCACTTTTGATGGAACTGACCCAGATGGTTGGATACTACAAGCTGAACGTTATTTTGTGATTTACCAACTCATGAATGAAGAAAAAGTGGAGGCAGTGGCCCTCGGTCTCGATGGTGACACACTAGCATGGTATCGATGGTCTAACAAACAGAAAACCATTGAAACATGGGTAGAGATGAAGATCTTGTTCTTACAGAAGTTTTAGTCGATTCACGATGGGGATTTGTTCGAACAATGGGCCTCAATTGAGCAGACGGGAACCACTAACGATTACATACGCCGTTTCATTGACTTTTTGGCATCCCTGAATGAAGAGATTCCGGAAAGGGTAGCCATGGAAATCTTCAAGAAAGTCCTAAAGTACAACATCATAAAAGAATTATGAATGTGGACTCCTGAGCAGTTGGGTCATGCAATGGATCTAGCCTAACATATTAAAGAAAAAAATCAACCCAACATCTGTAGCAAAATTGGGTTTGTAGGGGTTAGAAACTCTACTTATCTATCCTCTAAAGTTAACATCACTTCTTATTCCCCCAACAACGTCACCACCGTAAAGAACCCTAGTTCTTGGAAATGTAATTTAGGAGAAGTCCGACCCTGACAGAAGTGCAAATCAACGAAAAGAGGGCCAAAGGACTTTGTTACAAATGCGATGAAAAATGGAACAAAAATCACAAATAAAAGTCACAGATCAACGTCCTCTTGGTGGAAGAAGAAGAAATACAGATAGAAGTTGATCATTCCCCAGACGAGTTGGTACATCCAGATGCGAGTCTGGTGTCCATGGAGGTGAACAATCCAACGGAAGTCTCCCTGAATTCGGTGGCTGGATTGACCTCACCTAAAACCATGAAGCTGACTGAAAGAGTTTGGGATAAACCCGTGGTTATCCTGATCGACTCACAACTTCATAGCTTTGCGGGTGGTCGAAGAATTAGGTATTCCGGTCACATATACTGAATCATACGATGTGAAAATGGGCACTGGTGATAGCGAGGCGGGGCGGTGTGTGTGTAAGGGTATCCTTCTTCAACTCTAAGAGATAGATATTGTTGAAGAATTCCTTTCATTAAGATTGGAAAGCACAGGCATCATATTAGGCCTGAAATGGCTAGAAACATTGGGAACCACACAAACCAATTGGAAGGGAAAAACCATTGAATTTGTTGTGGGGAATCAGAGAGGGAAATTGAAGGGGGAGACTGCTCTGGGAAAATCATTCGTCACCCTAAAAACAATAGAAAAGGAACTAAAGAGGGAGAAGGCAGAAATGATGGTGGAATTCAACAACACAGAAATGGAAATGATTAATGAGGTACCCTAATTTCTAACTCAAATTCTGCACAAGTTTAAAGGAAGTTTTAGGGAACCCAATGAACTTCCACTGAAGCGTCATTTGGATCATCAGATTGTCCTAAAATACGGTACCCCTCCGATTAGTTTTCGGCCTTATCGGTACCCCCACTTCCAAAAGGACGAGACAGAGTGCTTGAACTAGAAAATGTTAATGGTTGGGGTTATTCAAGTCAGCAACAACCCATATTCTAGTCTGGTGATGTTAGTCAAAAAGAAGGATGGGTCATGACAGTTATGCGTTGCTTACCGGGCATTAAATCGGGCCACCGTTCCCGATAAATTCCCCATTCCAGTCATTGATGAGTTGTTGGATGAATTGCATGTGTTAGTTATTTTTAGCAAGTTGGATCTAAGATCCGAATATCATTAGCTTCGGGTCCGGATGCAAGATATTCCCAAGACTGCCCTCCACACACATGACGGGCATTATGAGTTCAACGTAATACCTTTCGGTCTTACAAACGCTCCACCAACCTTCCAATCTCTAATGAACGACATCTTTCACCCATATTTGAGAAAATTCGTTCTAGTATTTTTTGATGACATCCTAATTTATAGTTCAAGTGAAGTTCTTCATCAAAACCACCTCCCCATGGCTTTTGAAGTACTACAAAAACACTAATTGTTCCTCAATCAGAAGAAATGTGCATTTGGCAACGAAAGGTTTCATATTTGGGCCATGAGATATCTGCCAAGGGAGTGGCCGGTGAAGCTTCTGAAGTACTACAAAGAAGTCCCACCCAATGGTTGGTCTGATTATTTTTTTCACTACAAAGACAACTCTTCATGTTGTTTTTGTTAAAGTTATATTATATGCTATTTTGGATTCCTTTCTTTTTTTATATAGTTTTTAAGAATTAATTATGTTTTATATGGATTACTAAAGACATAAATAGGTAGAGAAAAATTTCAGATTAACACTACCTAGGTGTAATCGAGCATGATTTTAATAAAGATCTACATAAATTAATGGCTATCATATGCTATTATGTAAGGTTGCAACTATTTACTTCAAGATATAAAAGTACTTTATCCATTTGTAGCAACCTGTCACCCAATAGTCTTGAAACCATTGGAAGCTTGCAGAATGTAACTGACATCATATATATTTTTTAATATCAATCTTTATGCAATCTCTTTTGGAATGTAATATACTTTAATAGCCTATTTTAGCCTTGTGTTTTTCTGTTCTTTATAGGTACCCAAGATTACTATTGTTGTTGGTGGAAGCTTTAAGGTTGGAAATTATGCAATGTGTGGGCGACCATATAGTCTGGATTTTATGTTCTTCTGGCTGAATGCCAAAATAGGTGTGATGGGTGATTCTAAGATATGTATTTTGGGTATTTTAAAATTAGTCAATGTACTGATCTTAAAATGTAACAGGCGGCTAAAGTGATGTCTGAGATAGGAAAAAGCAAGAAGAAAACCTTAGATAAATGTGTTAATCTCATATTTCCATAAATAGCAATGTACATTCAATTATTTGTTTTTTTCAACATCTTACTTACATCTTTTTTGTTACAGCATAGTATTTTTACATTTTTTTTACTATTATGGTATTGTAGTATGAGCATCTTCCACTTCACGTAATTGCAGTTTAAAACTTTTCTTATTTAGGTATTATACTTTGAAAATTCTACCCAATTTTAGAATTAACATGGTTTTGGTTAATGTGAAAGAATAGCAATGTCTTTTTCTATTTGTCCTACATACAACATAGAATTAAAAATACTGCAACCAAAAAAATTAAGGAATGTCTCCCATTTGCAAAAACATATGGCTTCCAACTCCCGCAATGCGGAAAACCTTCTATATATATATATATATATATATATATATATATATATATATATATATATATATATATATATATATATATATATATATATATTAAAATTATCCTACCTTAGCTACAGTAAAGTGGCTAAGGATTTGGCAAAAATGGTCATTCCTTTATATATACATGTCTACTTTTGGCTTTCTTTTTCCGTCTTTGTTTTTTGGGCACTTTCTTCCATTTGATCGATTTTTGTTGCTACGTGTTTGACGCCTGTTGTCTTCACCGTTTTCCCACCCAATCACTTTTGGATTGCTGGCGTTTTTTCCGATCTCATGGTTCCACCGGTTATTCTTCATTACCGACTGGTTTTATCTATCTTCCACCCGAACTTCTATCTTTCACTCGAATCCATCTTCTACACCTCGCCTGCTTCCCACCGCCACCACAATTCTCAATTTTACGTCTCCTTTAGATTTGAGAAGGACCTACATCAATACTTCTTCAGGATTCGGAAATCGTCCGACATCGATTACACTGCAAACCTCGATTACACGTGAGATCAAACGAGAATGGAGGAGGACGATTTCAGAGAAGCAACAATGTTGGGTATGTAAGTTTTTCTTTGATTCCTCTGATTATCTTATCTACAAGAAATAGTTATATCAGATTTATGACTTCATGATTTCTTTGTTCGTTACTTCTTCTTCTTTTGTTGTTTATATAATCATTTTGACAAATGTATTTGGGTTTATGCCGGTTTATCAAACATGACCAACAAAAACCGTAAAATCAAGGCTAAATCCGAACCAGTTTGTATTGAATGTCAGTCTTTCAGCTTTGCAACCGTCACACTTGGAGAATCATGTGATTGAACATGAAAAAGGGGACGACTTCCTGACTACAGGTTTGGGAAGTGGGTTTTGGATGACAAATATTCCTATAAGGCGTTCGATGAAATGTCTGAGCCAATTAATGTATTCATTCCGCCTTACTTTAGCTGATTCATTAGTTTATTAGATTTGTTTTATCATCTATTTTCTTATTTTGTTCAGGCTTCCTTAGCAGGATACAATTACAGCTTTTGAGGTGCAACCTGAGTTTGTTTTCCAGTTATTAGAAAATGAAAGAGGTATCCATTATAGCTATTAAAACTACCAACTTTTGAAAGGGTAGATATGATTTTGAGTATTTCAATAATAAGATCAACCAATCAGCTTAAAGGAGTTGTATGTGACATTATTTTGATAGAACATCTAAAACTGATTGTGTGGCACCTAAAGAGTCCAATAGTCTGAAACAAAATTGATTTATCCATCCATTGAAGATTAATAAGAATAACTTCATCATTTAGTTAACATTCGTAAAAGTTAATCATTTTCACATTTAGAATAAATACTAATTTAACTCAATTCACTTCATTTTTGTTGTTTCTAAGCACATTGAAACACCCTATTGTTCATATGAAGTGCATGTGTTAGAACATATCTTTTATTTCTCAACCCATGATAATTTGAAGTTGAAAAAGGTACCATTTTTGATCTTTTAGGAGTGTTTGTATGCACAATTTAACCAAATTTATATTTGTTTACAAGAACACATATTTTTTTTGAGCATAGTACATTGAATGAACTTATTCCAAAGTGCAGACAAGAGGAGGTACATTTTAATGACAAGATATCATATGTAATTTTTTTATATGTATAGTACTTTATTTTTTTCCATTATAACAGTTGAGGCAAAACATATTTGCGGAATTACAGCCGATGCAAACACTCTGTGTAAGTTAAAAAACAAATTTTTTTGGTAATATTATATTAAAAAGCATTTTTTATATTTCATTACATTTATTAGCATATGGTATTTAATTATTTTCTTATTCTAAATGATTTTTGTAACATATATTGTTTTAAATGATGGTTTTATATTGTTAATAATACACAACTCCAAATGCATTGTTATGCATTAAAGATTTTGGTAAGGAGAAGTTGAAGCCTACATATATGCTTTCAGATGGAAGATTAGAAAGAGCTGGAAGAGCCAAAAACTTACCTAAAAAAAGTCAAAGATAGAGTCAGAGGTGTGGAATTACATCAAGAAAACACCCCTTCAGCCTCAATCATAACAGTTGGTGATGAAATTATGTAAGTTTCTTCATTATTATTTGTATTATTATTCTTATAATTTGTTATGTGTTGACTAATGTTTATGATTTCACATTGCTCAGTTCTGGAAAGATGGAGGGTGAATTAAGACATTTGTTGTGCAGGAAGCTTCATTCTATTCGTTGGAGTGTTTCCCATATTGTTGTTGTATCAAGTTATGTAAGTTGCATATGAGAATCTTGAAATAATAAGGTAAAGAAACACTATTTACTGAATTACCCTTGAATTGACAGTTTATTTGTTCTATATTGGTAGATTCTGTAGCTCAAGAAGTTGAAATCCAAAAGTCTACAAGTTACATGGTATGCCATTTATCATATGTAAATGTGTAAATATGTATGTTATCATTTTTTATTTTTCATATTCTGAAATTGGTGAAATGAAATGTTAATAAAATAAATATTTATATAGGTTTTCTTATATGGAGGAGTTGGTCCATTACCTTCAGATGTTTCCATTGCAGGAGTTGCCAAAGCTCTTAATGTTTGTTTGGTGAGTCATTTACATTTTATTTTCTTTTTATTTTATGAAATATATAATTTTGGATTTTAATTTGAAATGTTATAATAATAATAATAATACAAAATACTATCAAAGTTTCACCAAAGACAATGGTTAAAAATGACGAGCATCTCCATCCCATATCATTTAATTATTTATTTCTTTATGGCCACTTCTATTTCTCTGTGGCCACTTCCTTAAAGATCTTGACGTTGAGAAAAAGTACCACAAATGCCCTCTATCTGTTTGCTGAAATGCTTGATCAGTTGTCTGTCTTCTGTTATGCATTTTCTTTTACTTTATAAGTTTTTTTTATTCTAATATGTCTCGCTCACAATATAAACCTGAGAAGTGGATGCTACTTAATGAAGAAAAGATTGTCTGAATAACCTAAATCTTGCTATTGTAAGTGTAACACTTTATTTATTTATTTTTTTCACATAATAATTTGCCAATGTGATTCTAACAACTTCTATCTAACATTTGCAGGTTTGCCATGTGTATTCTGGAAAATCGATATTTTCAGGAATATTGCTACACCTTCTGAGGCAAATATCTCAGAAATAAATGCATAAGTTTAACAATTTTAGGAGTTTATTACAATAAGGTAACTGTGATTTCATTCACAATTTTAGGAATTTATTACAATTTTTTTTACCTTTGACAATGATGAATATATCGAAGATCAGCCAGAAATTTGTTTTTTTTGTTTTGTTTTTTTTTTTGTTTATTTGTTTTTTTCGTTTTTTTTTTGTTTTTTTTTTTGGTATGATCAACAAGCATTACTTATGTCTGAAATGGTGTTGAAGTAAAACATGCACCCGTTGCAAAAACACATGTTCCGAATACTCAGTTGAAGTGCAAGGTCGGTTTAAATTTTTCGTTAACTGTTCTGTTTTTTTTCAAGATCTATTGAAATTGAATTAGTATTGCCAAATTTATATTTTTTATATTTTTCATCTTCTTTTTACCAGATTGGAAATTTGGGTAAGAAGAGCAAATTGCCAGATTGTTACAGCTGAAAAAAGAGAAGGTCAAATCATTATCAGGTACATATGTAAAAATAAATGATAAGTATCAAGAGTATTCTTAGTATTTTAACAGCTACTAATACATGATTAAACAAAATGCATTCATTTATAAAATCAAAGATAATACATAATTTATTGTGGACGATTGTTAAATTTTAATCCAAAAGTTGAAGGTATCAAGATTCAATATATGGAGTTTTTTTTGTTCGAAAAAGATGTTCATATATAACATTGTACTTTTAAAGCTAAAAATATGACGTTGGATGGTAAGTGGATAATTGGATGATATTGCTATAATACAATAGATTTTGCAAAGTAATCTTCTAAAAGTTGAATTTCACCAAAGAAACACCATGGGCAATCGATTCCATATATTAAATCTTGATATATTGCTATACAACGTTGTAAGAAGTGGAAAAAAATTAGTTTATAAAAAGTCTAATTTTTTAAATATTTACACAGAGTTAAAGTTCCTTTTAATACCATTAATTTTGTAGATTTAACCATTGAAATAATTGTTGAACTGAAAAGGTCTAGAAGATTTTTGAACTACAAATAACTAAATTAATAAAATTTCGTAGATTTGATTTTGCAAGGTTAGTATTCAAATGCGAAAATCATAATTTCTGTCATGAAAACATTATTATTATTATTTTGGTAGGTGGTAGGAATCTTGAAATACTATATTTACAACAAAATAAAACTTTTATGTTGTTTATATGAAGTCTTACATCGAACATCTTTTTGCCAAAAAAAAAAGGTCGACAGATTGTGATCATGGAGAGGAAAATGAGGAAGGAGGATGCGTGTATCACTCATTGTTACATAATTTTCATTTTTTACTCAAATCGTGTTCTTTTTTTTTTTAATTTTTTTTAATTTTATAGATTTAACATGTGAAAGGCGATACTCTAATTTCTTATGATGGGAAGTGTAGCTTCTGGAAATTTCACAAGTTCCTGAAGAGCATGTGAGTTTTATTTATTTTTATTTTTCTTTTTAGGGAGAGAAATAGCAACATGCTTTTATTGAAATGTCTATTATAACATCCTACTTTCAATTTGTAATTAGATATTTGTTAATTGTTATCCATAAATTATAATTTTATTTTTATTTTTATTTTCTTTGCTGCCAATAGCTTATATTCACACCAAAACCAAACTTCCATGCAACCTGAACACACAATTATGATCTAAAAAAATAACTTTTATGACATAGTCCAAAAACGGCGAAGCCGTATCCCTTTTCTAGTTTTAATCAAATTTTTGTTAGACAACAATATACTAATTTATTATTATAATTTTGTGTGGTAAACTATAAAAATAGTTTAACTTAGTTTTTAAATTAGTTTATAAGCTAATTTATTGATGATATAGTTTGAGATAGCTTATAAGTTAAAAATTAACTTATAAGTTAGTTTGTCAAACAAAGACGAAAAGATACATTTTATAATATTTTTGAAATATTTCAAAATATTTTTATACGAATATATTTCATAGTTATGTGTGAATTTTGTTAATAAGTAAGTTTCGCTAATTATTAATAAAATTTTGAAAATACTTTGAACTTATTCTTTTAAATCTCAATAATTTTGTAATCAATAAAAAATAGAGAAACACCATAACATCTACCAAACATCAAGATCAAGTTATATATGACGTATACCAACCACCAAGTCGTATTAAACATAGAAGTCGTATGGAAAGGTGTCACCTTAATTGCATAAGCATAAGTAAGGGACGGAAGAAGTCAAATGAATGCTTGGATGATGAAATAAACTACATTTTTAAGTCCAGTTGCAATATTTAATTTAATAGATAAAATATTACTACATAATATTACATATTCAAGAAATTTTGTTGGTCTTAAATAAATTCCTTCAATGTCTATGTTTCACCAAACAAAAAAATAATAGTCACCCATATAATCATTTTACATCATATTTATCTATCTATCTAATTTTTTTTAAAAAGTTATTTAAATCAATATTTGAACAATATTCGTTTGAAACTACTACCTTTTCAACTTAAGCTAATTAAGTGTATGATTAATTGAAATATTTTGCCTATATAAAAAGCTTATTTCATGTTTGGATACTCACATTGAAAGAAAATGTTTGAATGATGAAATATGTTTGGAAAAATTAAGAATGATGGGTACGAATCTAAAACGCCATGGAGAGGCTGAGGTGGCACTCCATATCATCGTTGTCACGCCGAGAACATTGTCCCCTCATAACACACCGTTTCCTCATGTTGTTAGCACAGCGCATTGCAACGTCGCGTTTCTTTTATTTTTTGAATGTTGTGTTTGACTTTTTTGTTGTGTTAGGCTTAAGTTTGACTAATACCTACAACAAATGAATATATATTAATAAACTATGTTTGTTTTAATAAACGGTCATAAGAGCTAATGTGTTGTTTGGTTCGTAGAATATTTCTAAGGAATTGGAATTGTAATTGAAAAATGAATCTATCAAGAATTTGAATCTAGTTCTATATACTGTTTGGTTGACACGAAATAGAATTGGAATTAATTCCAAATTCTGTTTAGTTGACATGAAATTGAATTGTAATCCATGTAAAATGATAGAGTTGTCCTTTTTCTGTCTGTTTTGTTTAATTTTACTTTTCTTTCTATCTTACATCTAAAGATACATTATATAAACTATAAAAATAGTAAAATTTCATTTTTTAATTGAGCATTCATGTATGGTGGAGGTGGTAGGTGGTGGTGGCAGACGGTAATGGTAGTGATGGTGGGTACGTGGTAGGTAGTGGTGGTAGGTGGCGATGACAATGACAGTAACAGTAGATGGTGGCAGTAAAGATAAAAGTTGTAGTGGATGGTGGTGGGTGGTAATGGTGGTGATGGTAGTAGTGGTGATAGTGGCAGGTGGTGGGTAGTGGTGGTGATGGTGGGTGGGTGGGTGTGGTAGGTGGTGGTGGCGGTGGCGGTGGTAGTGGTTGTTGTTAGTTTTTTTTTTCAAAAATTGTTTCAAAAACATAAACATGGCAACAAAAGACTTTGATTTTGAACAAAATAAAACTAGTTTTATTCCCACCAAAATATCATTTTGCAAGACTTAGAGAGATTAAAACCAACCTTATAAGGAATGTGTTATAACATTTGAAGACTTTGGTTCCGTTTAGCAATTAGGAAGTTGATGAAGATGGCTTAAGCTATAAATTAAGACCTCTCTCAAAGTATCCACCAAGAAAGATGAAATCACCATTAGATGCTAGTCATATACTTGTAAATTAGTTGTTCATAAGCCTTAGAAATATATGCCAAATATATTGTCAAAGGTGAAGCAACTAAAGGTCTAAACTTTATACTACACAAGGCAAAGGAGAAGAATTGAGAGCACAAAAGTGATCTCGGTTTTGTGAGTAAAAGAAGAAAGTTTTAAGCCCAAAACTAGATCAATTTGATCACTTTCTCTTCTTTATATATTAAGAGAGATTCAAGAGTCAAAAAATAGCCATAAGGTAAAGTATGGCCATATCTTTCATTCATGATGAAAGGTAAAAGTAAGAGACCATTTCTTACAAGCATGTTGTAGTAATAAACTGATTAAAAGCAAATTGAACTCCATCATGCTTCATTTTTTGCCATGGTTCCAAAAAAGGACAAAAACCAATTTCCAGTTACTTTATTCATGCTTCATTTTTTGCCATGGTTCCAAAAAAGGACAAAAACCAATTTCCAATTACTTTATTCAACTAACTAGTTGCATGTGTAACCAATTGGTTACTTAAAGAGATCAAAAATATTATACATAACATTAATGATCATACCACATGATATATAAATATTTTTGTTTTCTTTATTATTATATAGTATAAATAATAATTCCCATTATGTTAGAAAGATATTATTTCCCAAAATAATGTTTTTTTTTCAATTAAATACAACCGTTGATATATTTATTAATAATCAAATTATACTAAAAAAAATAATCAATTAGTGCTAACTTGCTATAAGGTGTGACCCTGTAGGATCATATGTTTTTAGCAATATCATTCTATAATGACTCTTGGGCATACAATATCTTTTAACCTCCGACTTGCACAAGACTCATCATAGATTAATATAGACAATGGTGAACGTCTAGCAACATTTCACTGCCCCCAATAACACATGACGAAGAATGTCATTCATCAACATCTAATTCCCAAAAGATCCAAGCTTCAATTGATGTATTAAGGTAAGTTTATATGTTATCCCTTTGTCACAGACATCCTATTAAACATGAGAATTGGATCGCAATTAATCTCATTTGTAGTTTAACTTTGGGTAACATGTGTTATATGTCTAACTCTCAACACAAAAGAGGAACAAATCTCATCTTGACTACATAAGCTTCTTGCATAGTTCACACCATACCTGAAATTGGATTTCATAGTTGCCTGGTTAAGGATCCACATTTGACCATATCAAATCACAACACTCCCTACACTTAAGTCTCATTATGTATCTTAGGTGTTAAGGATACAAAGATAATACCTTTTAATCACGTATCACTCATAATTGTAATCTATGAGTTGATCTTGATGCGGGTCCGTTCAATACTAGTTCTCTGATAAGTACCTATGAAACTTCTGAACGAAATCCTTCTCTGAATGAAATACCAGGTTCCAGCCCGACTACGGAGCCAAAGGACTCCCTACTTAGTCGCCTCACACAACTTCTGAACGAAATCCTTCTCTGAAACTAACAGCTACTAGTTATCTTGTCATTAAGGCCCAAGCAGAATTATGATCTAATTGATCGATTCCACATGTCGAATCCTGAGGTTACCAACCCACAGCTAAACGTGATTGCTACATGACCAA